GAGGTGTGTGCTCACTTTTTCCCTTCCTCCAGAGTTGGCCTACAGATGGTGAAAACAGTATGATGTCAGGCATCTCCTCGTCGCGTGAACAGTGGCACCACTTGGTCAGGGTATCTTATTTCTCCAACATTTGTTGAAATTATTAATACTTCCCCTAGTTCTTCTGTCAGAGTGCTTAAGGAACATTTTGAGAAATTATAGAACTATCTGAGAGCAAATAGAGTGAAATGGTTCTATTTGTTATTAACAATAAATCCTATGAGCCCATATTCCCACAGATCCACAAATCATTGCCACTGTCTAGGTTGACAATATCTAGATTTGTCCACTATCATTTCAGAAGCCTTTTCTACATACAGTCTGGGGAACTGAGGTGGAATGTAATAAAATTTAAGCCTGGGATTTAGTAAAAAGAAACAGAGATAATACTGTATTAGCTTTTCTCAAACGTTTACCTCATATATTTAATATGGCCCTTGTTGAGAAACTTGAAAATCCTCTGAAGGAATTGAGGCTCTTTCATACTTTTTTGTAACTCCCTTTGGAATTAGTCCTTATGATGCCTGTGGAGAAAGAAAACTGAGTCACAGGAATAAGTTATAAGTAGACTTTTGTCAAAATATTTCCCATCTAATGGGCAGATTTGTTGTTTTTTTTTTTTAAGATTTTTATTGGGGAATTGGGGGATGGGAACAGTGCTGGGGAATTGGGGAAGGGGAACAGACAAGTTGCTGTCCTTTTGGTCTTGTCTAGTTGTGGAGGACGTTGCTTCACTGGCCCAAGTTGGCACCATCATTGCGCTCTTCCCGGGCGAGGCAGATCAGTCGCCGGCTTCTGGACGGCCGCTCACGGCGGCTGCTGGCTACACACGGTAGCCCATGGCAACCCACTGCAGCAGGGGCTGCAGCCTACGCCATTGCCGGCGACTCACGGCAGCCCAGCTCCAGGTTGAGCTGTTGTTCAGCATCTTAGTTGTAGAGGGCAGTGTCACTGGCCCTTATATATGGGATCTGAACCGGGGCCCTCTGGCGTCCCAAGCCAGCTCTTAACCAATGCACCACTCGGCCGGCCCTGTGCCGTTTTTTATTATAAATTTCTTAATGATTAGAATCCTTTGTTGAAATCCCATTATGGTGAATTATTAATACTTTATTGCACGGTTTCCATATGACTGAACTATTTCTATAGTATGTTGTGACTCTAATCCCCCAAAATGGTTTACAAGGAACCATATTGTGGTTTTTTGAGACCGGAAGGCACAGGACTGAGATACAATTAAACCTTTTATTGTGTGCTACCAAATAGCAGTTGCCAATCATTTTCCTAATATTTCTCCATGTAAAATACTTCAGTAAAGGAAACAGAATATTCCCACATATTCTCAAATTCCCAAAACAGACTCCAAAATTATACTAAATAGGTGATGGAATTGAAGTTGTTTACACAATCTTGGTTTCCCTCCTTTGTTCAAAGCTTTACTTTTTACTTACTATATGTGTATGACAGATAACAATTAGTTGCTTAATTTCCCTATGCAACCTACAGCAATGCATATATGAGAAATAAAAATTCTGATTTAATATGATTAGGCTGTCCAATAGAATAAATTATAAAGGGGTTTTACTTTCTTTGTGTTTACCTTACCAGATGTTGCAAAGTAAGCACGTTGAAAACCACTGGCTTAGATTTATTACATTCCAAAAATCTAAATTTCATGATGGCTAAATTATTGTTAAAGTCACCTGCAATGTGATATCTGCCTCCCTCTCTTATAACTCTAGAGGCATAAAAGCCAACTTTCAGGTGAAATGAGCCATTCTGCACCTTTCTTTCAATGCCCCATTTTTAATTGTTAATTGTCTTAAAGCCTAATATTATAATAATTTCCATTCAAATGTTTTAAAAAAAGTATGCACATGATTTAAAAAAATCAGAAGCACAAAAGAGCACCATTTGAAAAGTTGCCATCTATATTAGTCTGCCTGGGCTGCCATAACAATATACGACAGCCTGGGTGGTTTAAATAACAGACATTCATTTTCTCAGATTTGTGGAGGGTGGAAGTCCAAGACTGAGGTGCTGGCAGATTGAATTTCTGCTACGAGCACTCTTCCTGGCTTGCTGATGGCTTCCTCCTTGCTGTGTCTTCACATGACCTTTCCTCTGTGAATGTGTGGAGAGAGAAAGAGTCTCCCGTGTCTCTTCCTCCTCTTAGAAGGACACTAGTCCTGTGGGATTAGGGCCCCACCCTTATGACCTCATTTAACCTAATTATCTCCATAAAAGCCCTACTCCAAATATGGTCACATTAAAGGTTAGGACTTCAACATGTGATTTTGAGGGAGACAGAAGTCAGTCCACAGCACCCCTCAATCCCTAATTCCAATCTCCAGAGAAAACCACTTTTAGCCATTCTCTGATTTTAGTCCTTTGGGATTATTACTGTAATTCTGTGATATACTTACCTGTTTTTTTGACCATCAATATTTAGACAATATATCTTTGGATGCATGTAGTGATGATTAGGAAACTCATTGACTAGCTCCCAGCTTAATGTTTTGGTTTTTTTTTAAACCAGTATTAATTTTAACTGTTTCAGTTGGTTGACTTTGCAACCTTAGAAAACAAACTTCCATTTCTCACGCATGTTCTACTTAAACTCCCAGTCCTTCTATTAAAGCTCATGTTTTGGTATTGTATTTTAAATTTGCCAAAATGCCTTTTCATTTCTGATTACTACTTTTTAAAAATAGTAGCTTGCTATTGTTTTGTGGCCCGGTATTTTCTCAGATTTCTCTGATTACTAATTAATTAGAATTAAGAAGAAAATAATACTCTTGTTTCCAAACAATCTGGTTTTTATTTTTTTTATTTTTTTCTGGGGAAATGTTCTGTTTGTTCAATTTTGTGTATTATTGATGTGCAGTTCATTTTCCTAAAATTTCTGGTAATTCTTGTGGTTCATTTATATATATTTTTTTAAAGATTTTTTTTTAATTGGGGAATTGGGGGATGGGAACAGTGCTGGGGAATTGGGGAAAGGGGAACAGACAAGTTGCTGTCCTTTTGTTCTTCAGTGTCTAGTTGTGGAGGACGTTGCTTCACTGGCCCAAGTTGGCACCATCATTGCGCTCTTCCCAGGTGAGGCACATCAGTCGCCGGCTTCTGGACAGCTGCTCACTGCGGCTACTGGCCGCTCACACTGGCTGCTGGCTACACACGGTAGCCCATGGTAGCCCACTGCCACAGGGGCTGCAGCCTACGCCGTCACCGGCGACTCACAGCAGCCCAGCTCCAGGTTGAGCTGTTGTTCAGCATCTTAGCTGTGGAGGGCAGTGTCACTGGCCCTCATATGTGGGATCTGAACCGGGGCCCTCTGGCGTCCCAAGCCAGCTCTTAACCATCACGCCACTCGGCCGGCCCAGTTCATTTATATTTTTGAATGAAGGATGGTTAATGTCAGCAGATGGCACGTATCTTTTCCCCCAAGACATCTTTCCCTGATTGATGGGGATGCCCTTGTGTCATTGTCCAGGCTTCATTTTATGATGTGAGGGCAGGAAGTAGGAAAGTGGGCTGAGTTTCCTGCCCCTCGCCCTCTGCTCCAGACCAGGAATTTAGCCCTGTGTACACATATCACTCACTTTCTTTAGGATCAGCTTCTTGATTTCAGCCTGGAGCAAACACTGATTGTGTCAGTTGTTCTAACTGAATGGAGTGAAAGGGGCTGGGTGGGGACAAGTGAGACGGACTTGCAATTGATTGTCCTAATTAGCCCCTTAGTCCTGTGACCTTCAGGCTTGGGGTCTCCCTGGGACTCTGCAGAGAAGAATGCATCCCTTCACAGCTGCAGCCTTATTCTGTGCATGTGTTCTAGGCTGCAGCCTTCCCCGTCCTAAGTTACCCATCCACTCAAGGCCATAGAAAGTCTATCTTTCAGAAGGCCATCAAAGGCTTTGGCGTGTTGTTGGTGCCTCTCCTCATGCTCACAGAGTACTTTGGGCTTCCTCCCATTTTGTACTTCTTCACTGTCATTTCAGTGGAATGTGAAAGAGATGGTTGGTAGATGCTGGGACTCACTCAGTCCACCACTTTGAGATGGAATTTTGTATCTTTTAAAACAGACCGCGTTGCTACCAACAAGTTTTTCTTGTCCCTTTAGGTATTCAGAACAAATAAGAACCACTCTACTATGTTAAAATACATTCTGTCCTCAAAGACTTCAAGCACTTAAGCATATTTGTTATCAAACCACCATTGTTTTGAATTCTCATGATTCCAGTTTTCATCTTTTTGCCCTCACTTTTACCTTATTGCCACTCGCATGGTGCTGCCCTGTCATATACACTCTTTTTCTAATTGGCAGTTTTTGATATGCTTATCTGATATGCTTATGATTATCCATAAATCGAGGGTCAAGAAACTCTGAGAGTATTTTGCGAGATACTCCTTTGAGCAACATATATAAACTTTAGGACATAAATTTTGTGATATTTATGGTAACTTCCTGAAGACATTTGTCCTCACTCACTTGGATCTATCCTCAGATGGTTGAAAGCCACCACATAAAGTGAGTCTGACCAGGTCTTATAGACTTATTATCTTCATTAGGGTGCTATTTAAATTCCTAGTGTCAATACCAATCATATTTTTCCCCTTAGCCATCACTGCTTGTCAATGTATCATAATTCAAGATAAGTTTTTTCACATAAACACCATTTATAATTAAGATACAATGTTATACTTTAGTTATTGATAGTCAATAATTTATTAATATGGATTTATTAGCAAACCTGCCAATTGTTTTTTTTTCTTGTTTTTAGTTTTAACACATATAATGGTAACTGTAAAAGAAGCTCACAAATTACAAATACTCAAATTACCAAATACTCTAGGACTCAGCACAGTCATTTCCTGGGAAGAAAATTTATTTCATGCTGTAAATGCAAATTTTAGTAACAATTCTGTTGAAATTACTATTCTAGGACTATTTCCAAAACATTATTTCAATGACTCAAGATAAAACACATTATTTATCAGGATGTGATATTTCAGAATGTCACAGGTGAGAAACCACTTGTCAAAAGGTAACACATTTGTTTAATTTCATTAGTTACAAGTTAACTGGTGGATGTCATGATTTTAGGTGTGTATAATATTTCTGTTAAGACATCTAAGTCTCAGTGATAATCAGGAATGGGTATGGCTATGGACAGATTCTAGGTGAGTCAGGGGGACCATCTCTGGGAGCCCACTGGGCCCTCCAACTGCACTCCCCAGATTTAAAACAACAAAAGCTTTTAATTCATGGTGTGCTTTTAAGTCATGGTGTGGTTCATGAGCACTAGAAGCAAACACCATCTCTGCTTGGGATGAAATTAAGGGGCTGTCTTGATGGATAACTTGGAGAGTACACCTATAGAGAAAGATCCTGACCATTTTAAGTAAGGGAGCAATGTTGGGGAATAGAAATTTTATGTCTAGTGATCAACAAGGTTGGAAAGAACAGATGATTTCAGAGAGAAGGAACTTCTCTTGATAGCTTTAGTATTGTATGGTGGGATGGAAACAGCTAAGTAAAGAAGCCAATAGCTGAAGACAAGTTAAATGTTTTCAAGTGAATCTGCATTGAAGACAAGTTAATGTTTTCAAGTGAATCTGCATAGTGAAGTGGTAACTCCAGATAACCAAAATGTGCAAAGTTACTTTTTATGCTATGATATAAATACCAATCTGGTTTTGACCTGACCATTATAGCTGTGTAGATCAATCTGGTTATTACATGAGTGATTCAGATCCAGCCCAATGTGGTCACTCGGTAGAACTTTTGGTGCATCATAACCAAAAATGAAACAAAACATTCCTTGGGTGATATGTCTAGATTCCAAACAGAAGGAGATGGCAGCCCTACAAGACAGGAAAAACAGATTCTTCTTCCTTAATACTTTTCTTTCTCTTTATCATGGAAACATATGTTTTAAGGGGAAGGAATGTACATAGAGTTTTAACACTGGAAGAGGCCATTGGGCTCCAGACTTCTGAGGCGCAGTGATTTGCCCAAAGTCCATCAGTTACCTGGTGTCCGGTCTGCTTTAGTCATCAATGGGTGATTTAGTGTGCTCTGCTCGTAATTACCACTTCTTGCTACTCAGAAATATTTCCCAGGTTCACATCTTTTATGCTATTAGCCTAGCCAAGAAGAACAATCCTTAGTTTGGCTACATAAGCTGAAATATTGCCAGTTTTTCTGGGCAACACATAACAGTTGGGTCACACCATGTAGATCCTTGGGGGAAGAGATGATTAATAGCTACAGAGTCTGAAAAAAAAACAACTCAAAGCTAAGCTTTTCCCCTCCTTCATGCCTCATCATAGCTGTTCCTTGCATGATGTCCTGTTTGACTTTTCAGTTTCAAGAAACTCAAGCTCTCTTTGGTTGTATGGGGGAACATCAAGTTGCACTAAGCCAACCCATGTGGCCGATTTTATCTTGTGCTCGCCAACCAAGGTAATAGCATTTGCCATTTGTTGAATATTTAGTCTGAAATGCTATATAAAAACAAGAAGCTCAGTATTGACATGGCTCAGTGGATATTCGTTGAGCATCTTACAGAATGTTATCTTTTCACTTAGCATAAGCAAGTCTTCCAGAAAGTATAGAATTATTTTGATATTCCCTGGAATTCAGACATGTTGGTAGCCTCTCTTCCTATTTGGGGGTGATGATTAGGTTAATGCTAGTTCCCTTTCTAGAGATAAACTCTTCTCTCGTGAAATGTCACCTGCACAAGATCAGCTTTCTTGTGTGTGTCATGGGGTTGGAATGCATGTTCAAGAAACTACCCTTTGATCAGTCCCCCTACCACTGTGAGTAGTGTAGGGTCAGCTTACAAAGCTGTTTGCTTATACTCTTTTGAGGCTTGGCCATGCTTATTTCGGGTTAGATGGGAGTTTTCAAGCAGTTCATAGACATCCTGCATGTAGGGGAGATTTTGCCTCAGGTCCTGGGTAACCTCTTGGACCTGAATACCAGTGCTGTTCTTTGTAGAAACCCTTTGGCCTCGGTATGCCTGAGCCTGGCGTTTACAGATGCCAAACTTGCTGAGCAGGATAAATACATCCCTCTGGAAGGCCGTGGTGAAAATAGCATAGAGAAATGGATTGGCACAGGAGTTAAGTGGATAGAAGAGAACCAGCAGGATTTTGGAGTTGGTAACGGTGATAAGAGGCTTGTTCATAAGTGCCGACAGAGCATAAAAGGAGATTGGGGCCATGCACATGAAGTCGGTGAAGATCAACACAGCCATTCTTTTGGCAATTTTGGTGTCTTTGTCCCCTGGGTTGTACTGGGGATTGTGGACCGTGATGTAGATCTTCACGTAACAGAAGCAGACAATGATGAAGGCGACTATGTTGAGCAGCAGAACGAGGGTAATATATGCCAGAGCCAGAGGGGTCTCGGTGTCCATGGGCAGGCAGATGCTGACCTTGGCATAGCTGCTTATTCCCAGCAAAGGGAGCAGGGCGAGCAGGAAGCAGCAAACCCAGCCGCCGACCATGATGGCGTACGCGTGCCTGAGGCGGATTTTCCGGTCCAGGCGCATGGCGAAGGTGATGGCGTACCAGCGCTCCAGCGTGATGACCGTCAGCGTGTACACCGACAGCTCACTGGCAAAGACGGTGAAGAAGCCTGCTGTGTTGCAGCCAGGGCCTGTCTGCCAGTCGATGGCGTGGTTGTAGTACTCAGACTGCGTGTAGAGGTCGACGGAGGCGATGAGCAGCAGGTACATCCCCATGCAGAAATCCGCGAAGGCCAAGTTGCACATGAGGAAGCGTGGGACGGTCAGCCTGTAGTGGCTGGTGAGCAAGATGAGCAGGACAAAGACGTTACCCAGGAGGGCCAGCAGGCTCACAAACCACACCACGATTCTCAGGAACCTGTAGCCCATGATATCTTCACAGGGGTTGAACTCGTCGGACTTGGGGCTACACACCATAACTTCATTGCCCCCACACACAGTGTAGTCATAATGGCTATCGAAGGTCTGGTGGGTCTCTTCTTGGGGGTTTTTGAGCTCCTGGCCGAAACCAATGATCTCATCTTCTTGCTCTTCAAAGAAGACGTAGTAGTGAGAGTTGCTGTTGGTATCCTGGAACTTGGAGTTTTCCTTGTACTCAGCACTGGGGTCACCCAGGTCCGCTTCATATTCCTGGTAGAAGGGACCATTCTCAGCGTTCACAGATTTTCTCTGACGCAGACTCCGAACACTGCTTTCATTGCACATGAAGGACTCGAAGAGTCTGCAAGGCAACAGAAATAAGTCACCCCTTGCTGAAAACCCGCGAATGGTCCCCACAACACTTAGTGAAACATGCAGAATACTTAATATGATCTACGTGATTCTACAAGATACATGACCTGGTCAGGCCCGCCCCTCCTACGTTAGTTCCTGTCACCCTCTCCTCCCCACTGCGGCCCGGTGACATGGGCCCTTATTTCGTTCTCATCTGCAACCAGTTCCAGAACAATAGTGAGAAAAAAAAAAGCGTGAATGCTGGAGCCGGTCTGCCTAGGTTAGGACCTGGCTCTGCTATGTACTAACTGTTTCACCTTGGGCAGGTCTGTGAACCTTGGTTTATCCCATTTTAAGGACGGTATCATGAAAGTATCTATTTGACATAGGGTTATTAAAGGATTAGGCAAGTTTATCTTTTTTAAGCTCTTACACAGCACCTGGAACATTACTAATGCCATATATGTGTTGGTTATTGTTATCATTCCTCTTCAGAGCTTTAAAACCCCACATTCCTTTTGCCTGAAAAATTCATGACTGCTTCTACTCATTCAGTTAATTCAAATGTTCCTCTCTCAGAGGGGATAGCCTCAAATAAATTATCCTATCCTTTGTGTGTATTTCCTTCATAGCACTATCTGATATCTTTTTATTTGTTTGCGTGTTTATTTTCAGACTACCCCTAGTAGAACGTAAACAAAATGCAAGAGGGCTCTTGTCTGTCCCGTTCATTGCTGTGGATAAGACAGTGCCAGGCACATAGTAGGTGCTCAATAAATATTTTTTGAACAAATGAATAAATGGATATTATCATGCAGGCATGTTCATGGAAAATTTAGTGTTTTGCTAGCCTATCTGCCTGACATCAAAAGGGATTATTTAGCTTGCTGCAGCTGCCGAGCAGATGTTGACTCATCTATTGGGCTCTGGTTAAAATGCCCAATGGACTGCCTATTCCAACCTGTTTGGAGATTAATGAGAAATCTGGACTCGACCCTTGAAGCCTCCCACCCGTTCCTGCTCCTTTCCTGCTCTGGGCCACATGGCGTCAGTATAGAGCCTGCTATCACCCTCTCCGGAGCCCACTCCTAGTTTTCTGTAGGTGTGATGCTCGTATTTGCCTTCCTGGCACAGCTCTTCCAACTTCTTGTTTGCTCCTGCCCCCACTGCTAGATCCCAATTTATTTCTGACTACAAGTATGAGTGCAGACAGTCAGCCAGTATATATTATATAGACACTGAGAGAGAGTGAATAAGTGACAAATGAAGGTGGCTTTAGGAGAATGGGATTGCATGAGACACAAAGGGGGAAATAATGCAGAGTAAAAGCGTGGGTGAAGAAAAGATTCAGAGACAGCACAGAGAGGAAAAGAAGGCCATCTCTCTTTTGCAGCCCCGCAAGCAGCTTAATCATAAAGTAATAACATTGACAGCTTATGATATCCCAGGTCATTGTGATAGGGCTTTTCTATTTGGTTTCTCATTGAATTTTCTTAAAACCTCTATGGATGATAGCATTATGATTTCCATTCACAGAGGTCAAGGGAGGTTCAGGAAGGAGGCTGGGCTAACAGAACTAGGACGTGTCCCACATGGGGTACAAACCCAGCTGACTCCAAAGCCCACATAACATGTCACCAGTAAGTGACATGTGCAAAGCCTGAATTGACCAGGTCACCCAATTGCTTGTGTTTCTGAGTTAGTCCTCACAGTTGTGGCATCTAATGTGTTGACCTCGAGCCCAGAAACCATGTAGTGTAATCTCTAGAAAATTCTATAATGACATGGTCATTCCTGACTCTCCTATGTCACCTCCTAGTCTCCTTCCTTCCTTGCTGTGATCCACTGACTTTGGCCTATTTCTCATCTGCAACCACGCTGAGCCTGCAGAGTCATTGTAACCATGGATTTCGTGTTTCTTATGGATGCTTCCAATTCTTTCTACCTGTTTTTCAAACCACAAAACTTCTTTCCCAAACCCAGAAATCCCACCAAGGCCTTTTGTTCCTTATTCCAGACACCTGCCACTTACCCTCCGATTTTCTTCTGACTCTTAAAAGCACAGCAGTGGCTCGGATAAGAGAGGTCAGCCCGTGTGAGGTGAAGGAAACTTGGAGAAAGTGGCAGTTTCTTTAGAGTCCATGTGTTTCTTGCTATCAGTTCCCTCAGGTGCTCCAGGCCTTTGGGCGGCAGGGCGGTAACGCTGGTATGAGAGACGTCCCTGGGAGGGAGAGAGCAGGTGATGCAGAGAGGTGGAAAGCAGCCAGATCATCCTAGCTCTTGGCCAGAAAGTCAAACAGGCCTGAGATTAACAGATAGACTTATGCTCCTTGCTGCTCTTGAATATGCACTCTGAGTTCTTTATATACAGCCACTCGTCTAAGGAAGGGTGGCTATGTGGATTTCTATTAGGCTTCTAAATTGATAGGTTATGAGGGACTCCCATTTTTATTGCTTGGCGCTCCAGGATCCATCAATACAAATAATAGTTTAGCAGACATTTTATTTTATCCATCGCAATACATACAAACTCTTGGAGTCAGAAACAGATATCCGTTCTACTCTGAAAAGCCACACCATATAACTATTAAAGAGTTTCAAGAAGCCAGAGAAATAGGCTCAAAGAGAAATTGCACTCATTCTCGGTGAGGACAAGGGTTTTGGGATTAATAAACTGCTCACTGATATGGATCAATACCAGTATCACGAAGTCTTCTCTGAATGATGCATTGGGAGTCATACCAGTTCTATGGTGAATTCATGACTCAGAACAGCCTCCCTACAGTTTCTTTAGAAGACTGTAAATGTGTTCCTGGAAGGAAAACTCCAGTATTCACATTCATAGTCTCAAATGAGATTCAGTTCATTTCTGAAAACAGTGGGGAAAGTGGTGAGGCTGGGGGCAATGTAGACATTACTATTAGTTACTAAAGTTACGAGTTAGTTAATTCAAGACTTTTAGTGTGACATTTCTAGTTCTTTTCTCAGTCCCAGAGAGTCCAGGTTATATATCTTGCTCCATCATTTTTTTTTTTTAAGATTTCATTGGGGAATTTGGGAAGGGGAACAGCTAAGTTGTTGTCCTTCAATCTTAGTTGTGGAGGGCGCAGCTAGCTCAGATCCAAGTCCAGTTGCCATCCGGCTGCCGGTAGGCAGTTCGCGGCCACTCAACTCAAGGTACCATGTTCAATCTTAGTTGAGGGCGGGCATAGCCCACCATCCCATGTGGGAGTCTAACCAGCAGCCTTGTTGTTAGAAGCACGTGCTCTCATCAGCTGGGCCCCCCTGCCAACTGCTGGCAGCTTAGGGCAGCTTAGCTTGGGCACAGCTCACTAGCCCATGTGGGAATAGAACCGGCAACGCAGTTGCTCAGAGCTCGCGCTCTTAACCAACTGAGCCGCTTGGCCGGCCCTCCATCATTTTTTTTCCCATCATTTTTAATTGCATTGAATAATAGCTTGAATAAGATCATGCATATTTAACATAATATCTCTCATTTTATATTTTATCAATTAAAATATTTGCTAAATAGTCCTTACATTTTTATGCATTTTATAATTTTTTCACAATTAAAAATTTAATATATAATTTAATTTTACAATTAAAATATTTAAAATAGTTAATATAATTAATAGTGTCTGATTAGTGAGCAAATTCCAGTATTTGCAACTTTTTCTTCATCACCATTGTAATTGGGCTTAGCTGGGATTTACATTCTTAGGTTTAAGGCTGCTAAAACTTGCTACTCAATTTTTATAAACACGAAGCTTGCTTATTAACCTCATTCTCACCACAGAACTGTAATTCTCAGGGAGGGGTGCCACGTTTGCTATTTTGTTTTGTATTCAATTTAAAAATTGTATAATTCAGCATTTTCCAAACTTAACTGGTGGTAAGAATCACCCTTGGTGCTTGTTACTGTATGATTCCCAGGTTATTTTTAACATTAAGCAAGTACCTGTGGGAAACTGGCATAAATAAACAACTTTGCAGTTAGTGAGAGAGCTGACGGATGTTAAGCGCAATCATGAAGTAAATGAAGCTGAACTTTGCTCTCCTGCCTCATCTGTCCTTTGAGGCATGTCTTTCTCTTTTAGCCATGCTGTCTTCGAGGTATGGCTGTCTTTCTGCCTCCAGTTTTTTGGAAGCAACTTATGTGTCTTTTTATCCCGTGACGCTTTCATGTCAGTGTTAGGTACACTGATTGTGTGTGTTCATCTGAGTTTGTCCTTCAAGGTAAGGTGTTTGCATTTTAATAGATATTTCTTGGGAAAACATGTTAGTAACCATTCCAATTACAGTGTGACAAAACGTCCCAAAACTAAGTGGCATCAAACAACAACTTTTTCATTATAAGCATAGCTTTTGTGGGTCAGGATGTTGAGCAGGGCCTGGTGAGGATGGCTTGTCTCTGCTCTGTGATGTCTGGGGCTCAGCTGGGAAGATGTGAAGGCTGGGGGCTGGATTATCTGCAGGTTCCTTCCCTTTCATGCCTGGTGCCAGGACTGAGATGATTCAAAGCTGAGCTCAGCTGGGACGAATGATGTGGCCTCTCTATGTGGCTTGGGTTTCTCCCATTATGGCAGCCAGGTTCTGGGTGGGAGCATCCTGAGACGAAGCATCTGGAGAGAGAGCGTTTCAGGAGAGCTGGTAGATTCAAGGGCAGGGGACACAAACCCACCTCTCAACAGGAGGAATATCAAGGAATTCGGTGACTAATTTAAAAACTGCCATAGTGATCTAATGGTGGAGATATCATTGAGGAAGCTATCTGGTGAAAACATGCAATTCCTGAGCCACACCCCAGGCCAACTGAATTATAATCTCTGATGGTGGGGCCCAGGGAACTGCATTATTTATGATGCTCTCTAGGTAATTCAGTACCTCATCTCAATTCTCAGCATTTTTATGAAGCAGGTGGACACTAAAGGTAAGACAAAGAAACAAGGAGGGAGCCCTAACTATAACCTGGGTTTAGAGTTCTTAGGATCAGTGTCCTAGAAGCTTTTCTCTACCCCTCACCTTCAGAGCTCTGGAGTCTTTGAACACAGACCCAGGTGCATTAACCCTTCAGGGACTCATTTTGGAATCTCGGAGGGAGAATTAGTTCTATGGTTCGTCTGAGTGTCTGCAATGAGTACACCCCAGCTGGCCTCTAGTTGGGCCCCAGCGCAGGCATGGAGAAAGCAGGTGCTGAAAAATGTGTCTAAACCTTGTGACAGAAACACCTGTAACATCACGGGTCTTTGGCATATAATATGGGTTCAATGGATGTTAATCCTCTCCTTGCCTCAATTTGGAGTTTACTGAGCTCAAGTAAGAAGCAAGGAACCCAGAAAATACAGCTCCATCCCAGGTCTTGACTTTTATATCCAATTGCTTGTTTGACATCTTCACCTGCATGCCCCACACATCTCTAATTTAACAGGTCCATCCCCAATTGAGTTTTTGATCTCCTCACCCCCACCTCAGCCTGCTCCTCCTCCACTTAATCTAGCAAAAGCCCTGTGGATTTGAAATCCAAAAGACTCCTGAATCTATGTATTTGCATCTCCAGTGTAAGTTCTCTACTTCAAGCTAAGGACATCTTTTGCTGCAGTAGCTTCCTGATCCACCCTTAATCTCTTCCAATCTGTTGTCCACACAGCAGCCAGAATAGTCATAAAACAAGGGTTGAGTAAGGTCACTCTCCTGCTCAAAACCTTGCAGTGACTTCCCAATGTACCATGAATAACATCTAGTCTTCTTACTGTGCCCTTCAATGTCCTACAGATCTGGCCCTTCCTCTCCAGCCTCGTCTCAGGGGCCTAAGGCCAATTACAGCCCAAATTAGAATGTATCTGGAGCCATCTAACTACCCACTGGCACGATCCACTTGATGTAGCTCTAAGTACCCATTAAGCCTGCTGCTCCTGAAGTGCTGGTGAAGTGCGGCTCTCTCCTGACGCAGGCAGCTCTACTTATGCTACTGCGGCATTTACAGAATCCAGTACATGGAACAATTGCTTTTATCCCATTTTTTTGGATTTAACCTCCCTTGCAGAGATCTGTAGTTTTAATCAGATAGTCTGGGTGTCATCAGAAAGGAACGTAGGAGCCTCTGTATACTTCCCAATGGATGTAGCACTGTCTCTCTGCTCAAAATATTCCAATGGAATGATTCTTCCCTCCAAGCCTACTCGTTATTTCTTTATTTCTTGAATTTTGTCCACCTCTCCGGGGCTTTTATCCTCATAACTCTTGCTCTTGCCATAAATATTTATGGCAAATTGCAATTAGGCTAACCCCCCGATCAGATGTCAGCTGAGCTGTTTCTGCGTCTACAGCCTCATGGTTCTCATTATACCACCTTAGTTTAGGTCTGAATTACATTTCACCTGAGTTTTGCAAAAACTTCCTGACTGGTCTCCCAGAAACTCTCCTAATCCCACCTTCAGATTTAGGACAGAATGTTCTTTGTAAAACTTGGATCTCATCATACTGCTCCCCAGTTTGAAACCCATGGTTCCTCCAATGTCTACAGATTGAAGTTGACTCTTCTTAGAAGAGTTTCTCCCTTCTCTCCAAGTGGGAGTCTCTTTATGAAGCCTGTGTTGTCTTCTTTCTCGATTTTCTCCCTCAAGTCACTGAAACACATTGTCTTAGAAAAGTTGTATGAGAGATGTATTTTCTGAGTCCTTGCAAGTGTAAGAATGACCTCTTTTTCCTATCACCTGATGCTTTACCTGGCTATTAACTTTACATTGTACATCATGTTTTTCCAGAAGTCTAAATGCTTCATTGAATTCTAATACCCAGTGTTGCTTTTGGAAGAATGAGTGATTCAGGTTTTTGTCCTTTGGTCATTGACTTGTGTCTACTCTCTGGTAACTTTTAAGGCCTTCTCTTTCTTTTCCAGCTTTATTGAGGTATAATTGTATTGAGTTTATATAACGTATTGAGTTTAAGGTATACAATGTGGTGATTTTGATACATGTGAATATTGTGAAATGATTATATGGCCTTCTCTTTGTCCCTGGAGTGAGATTCCATAAAGGCGTGCCTTGTTATGCATCTTTTCCATTTATTATCCTGGCCACTAGGGGTGAAGGGGCCTTCACTCTGGAGACCTGTCTTCTGCAACTGTAGGAAAATTTTTGGTATTGTTTCCAGGATAACTTAGTTCTCTAATTTTCGTTGTTTCCTCTCTGCAATTCCTAGTGAGTATAAAGAAACCTCCTG